CGATGGCTGCTGAGTTAGAGAAGCCGCAGCTGATTTTGTGTATATACATTTGTTGGTGGTTTGTCTCTGTTTTTTTTTCTTTTTTTTTTGTCTCCTTTTCTGCTGCTGCTGCTGTCTCCTTTTTTGTCTCCTCTAAACCCTCGTCACTCTTCCAGGGTAGCCGCACGCAACGGGACGGAGAAACAATACCTGCGGGGCAAACCCTAAACCCTAAACCCTAAACCCTAAACCCTAAACCCTAGAGGAAGTGAGAAGTCTCCACTGTTGTGCTTGAAACGAAAGACAAGCTTTCAGGGCATACCGTGTAGGGTTTAGGGTTTGCGGTAAGGGTTTAGGGTTTGTGTTTAGGGTTTACGCTTAGGGTTACGTTTAGGGTTTAGGATTTGCATGAAGGGTTTAGGGTTTGTGTTTAGTGTCTAGGGTTTACACTGATGGTTTAGGGTTTACGTTTAGATCTTATTGCTTCCATTTACACTTTATATGTAGGGTTTAGGGTTTAGAGTTTGCAATTAGGGTTTAGGGTTTACAGTTTGCAATTAGGGTTTAGGGTTTAGGGTTTAGAGTTTGCAATTAGGGTTTAGGTTTTAGGGTTTAGAGTTTGTAATTAGGGTTTAGGGTTTAGGGTTTAGGGTTTAGGGTTTGCGTACCCCGGGGTCCCGCGCCGACTTGTCCCTTTTCATTAAACCCCCAGCCCACGAGAATTTGGTGGTTTAGAGCAGCAAGACAGTGCGAGGAGCCGCAGGAGACAGCAGAGACAAAAGAAGCAAAAAAAGGAGGAGACAGAGAACGCGGCAGCTGAAAATACACAAACAAATACACCAAAATATAATTAGGGTTTAGGGTTTAGGGTTTAGGGTTTAGGGTTTTAGTTTCACATTGGTTATAACAGATGAGGAGGAACACAAGCAAGGATTCAAGCTTATTTCGGAGCTCCTGCTGCTGCTGCTGCTGTTTCTGCTGCTGCTGCTGCTGCTGCTGCTGCTGCTGCTGCTGCTGCTGACCTGCACGGGCAGCAGCGTCTGCTGCTGCTGCTGCAGCGTCCTCCCACACTGGCCCCGTGCTGTCTCTCCGCAGCACAAAAGAGAATTCCTAAACCCTCCTGCTGCTGCTGACCTGCATGCGCAGCAGCAGCAGCAGCAGCAGCAGCAGCAGCAGCAGATGGAGCAGAGCTAGCAGCAGAGAAGCAACAACCACTTGTCTGCATGAAAACCAGATCTTAGGGTTTAGGGTTTAGGGTTTAGGGTTTAGGGTTTAGGCCTCCTACCCCTCCTGATATAAAATAATAGAAGAAAAGTCGCTAGCAGCCACCGCTGTTGCCACCCCTCGCGCAGCTGCACGCAAACCCTAAACCCTAAACCCTAAACCCTAAACCCTAAACCCTAAACCACTGGGTGTTTTCAAGATCTTTTGCGGCAGCAGTCCTGAAGCTAGTCTGAGGGTTTGGGAATTTGCCTGTATTTTTAGGGTTTATGATAAGGGTTTAGGGTTTAGATTAGGGTTTAGGGTTTAGATTAGGGTTTAGGGTTTAGGGTTTACCTTCAGGGGAAACAGCCGCTGAGGGTTTGAGAGACGCCATCGGCTTGTGCTGTATGTGTCTCTCTAACACCCCATACGAGGCCCCCCGCTGCATGGGGGCCTTAACCCCCGCTGCACACAAACCCTAAACCCTAAACCCTAAACCCTAAACCCTAAACCCTAAACCCTAAACCCTAGGCGTTGGTTGGAGCCGCGAGAGAGGTGATAGGGCGGCAACTGCCTTCAGTTAGAATTCAGGGTTTACTTCTCCCCGCACCAGCAGACTAAACCCTAAACCCTAAACCCTAAACCCTAAACCCTAAACCCTAAACCCTAAACCCTCACCCATATCAATTCGCTGCTGATAGGTCGTCCCCNAAACCCTAAACCCTAAACCCTAAACCCTAAACCCTCACCCATATCAATTCGCTGCTGATAGGTCGTCCCCATCTCTGCGCCTCCAGGGCCACGGGTATCTCCAATAGCCAGCTGTATCTTCGAGTCGTCGCCAAACCTAAACCCCAAACCCTAAACCCTAAACCCTAAACCCTAAACCCTAAACCCTCGACTCTAAACAGCATGCTCGTTCCAGTCTCCCTGAAATGGCTAAGCAAAGGCCTATGAGGGTTTAGGTTTTAGGGTTTGCCAGTTAGGGTTTAGGGTTTAAGAATTGGGGTTTGGGGATACACAACTGGCTGTAGTGTTTGACAGCTAGGGCCTAGGGTTTAGGGTTTAGGGTTTAGGGTTTAGGGTCTGACGCAAAGGTGCCGCCATCTGCAGTGAGCACGAGAGTGTGTCGATCGCCGCATGCAGCCCCAGCAGCTTTTGCCTTTTCAGGTAAAACCACCTGCGCACACATCAAACCCTAAACCCTAAACCCTAAACCCTAAACCCTTGGTCCGTGAGCAGGGCTCTGGTTAGAGCTTGCAGGGTTTAGGGTTTAGGCCGAGCAATAGAGGGTTTAGAAGGCAGTGTATTTAGGGTTTAGGGTTTAGATTATTCTGAAGAAAAGTTTATGAAGGGCTGGCGAGGGTCTAGGGATTAGGGTTTAGGGTTTAGGGTTTAGGGTTTGCCTCGTGCATCGCCACGTGGTGCGTCTTAGGCCCCGTCGGCTTCAGCCCGCACTGGCCGTAGAGATTGTCGCCGCAGCAAACTGCAGCAGCAGCAGCAGCAACAGCAGCAGCAGCAGCAGCAGCAGCAGCAGCAGCAGCAGCAGCAGCAACAG